TAACCGGATGCATGTTGCTGACGTTGTATTTCAGCTTTTGCAGGCACCGGAGGCTGATGATGTCCGACGAGATGCCGGTGTCAATAAGGATTCGTCCAACCAGCTGGTTTGCAACCTTACATTTAATGACGACCGGGTCGTCATACGAACGGCGGACGCTGCCCCTGTCCTTCTCAGTGATAAGGACATCCGGGAAGGAGGAGCTAGCAGACGCCTGCTCATCATCATCTTTTTCCATCTTTTGAAGATGGCTCTTGGTGCCCCGGATGGTAGGGCCACCGCATGAGAACCCGCCTGCTATGGTGTAGACCGGCTCCTTATCGGTGTCTGAACTACTAGCAGGATGGGGTGTCTTAAACGACTACCCTAGGTTCTTCTTATTAGTCCCTTTTGACTTGGAAATATAGGACTGTAACATCCCTTTGTCAGCCAGACAGTCCTACGCCCGTTGGAGGCTGAAGTAGTCGTTGGTGTCATGGCCAACTTCCTCATGGTATGGGCAGAATTTATTTTTGTTCCTTGATTGAATGGAACTTTTCATGGGATTCAACTTCTCTAGGGACAGCCGGTCCTTGATCTCCATGAGGATGGAGTTACAGTCCTTGTTAAACTCGTACTTAGGAACGTACGGTTTAAACTCTTTCTTCTTCTTCTGGGACGGCTGGTCAGAATCACTAACCGCCCATATTTCTTTTCTCTTCTTGCTATCTTCTTTATTTTTGGCCGGCTGGGCAGGCCGGCTGTCTTTCTTCTTGTCGGACCTCTTAAAGTCCGACAGGCTTCCAGGCGAGCAGAGGTCGGTAGCTTGAATGTAGCTTTCCGCCTCCCTTAGGGCTGCCTGTAAGGTGAAAACCCCATTTCTGACTAGGTCGAACTTAAAAGTTGACCCGTCTCTCAGACCTTTGAAGAAGTCTGTAAAAGCTACCTTATCAGACAGTCGTTGAATCTGAATTCTAATCAGATTAAACTGTCTGACATAGGAGCGCAGCCCTTCTCTCTCCCCCTGCTTAATGGTGCTCAAGTCAAGACTTGTTTTCTTAGCAGGGATGTTCGTTGAGAAGTTGGAAGCAAACAAGAAGGCAAGCTTCCTGAAACTATCAATGGACCCGGCTGGCAGGTTGCCAAACCATTGTTGGGCAATGCCCTTCAATGTAGCCAGGAAGCATCGACACCAAGTGGCATCATCCAACCCTTGTAAGTACATGAGGTTGGTGTATGCCATGAGGTGATCTTCGAGTTGGTGGTACCATCATAAGTACCTACCAACACATTTTTAACCTTGGCCGGCTTTGGCGCCTCAGTTATCTCTTAGGTGAACGCAGAAGGTTGTTCACCCAGGCGGAGCAGACAAAGCTGCCAGTCCTCCAAAGAGGGCCGACTGCATAAAATAAGGAGGATACTGCCCGTAGACCTGAGAAGGTACATACGGTACAATCCCAATCATCTGAGGGCCAAAGTGGACAGTATTACCGCCTATCTGGCTCTCATGCAAGGAAAGTGCATTCCCTGCAGAGGTGTTGTTGAAGATGTCTGGAAAGTTTGACGTAGAAGCCGACTCAGACAACTGTTGGTTCCTCCTGCAGGTGATGATCTCCCGGGCATCAGGACTTGATTTTTTTACTTCCCACTGGTTGTTGAGTCCGGCGGGGATTGTTGGCATTCCTCTTAGGCAGAAGAATTGTGGACCAATCAATGGTCCTGGCTGCCTTCTCCTTTGGATGAGGAGTTGGCTGTCGATCTCTGACTGACTTCCCCTTCTCTAGAGGAGTTTTTTTTTTCCGCCTGACCCCTACTCAGGCCAGGCCGGCTCTTAGAGATCAGATCTTTGATTTCACCCTTGAAACTTGTCATGAACTTCATGAGTTCATCTCGGGTGACGGGAGCTGATCCACCTGTCGTTTGGGTTTCCCCTTCCGGCTTCCCAGGGGGTCGATTTGTACCTGCCTGGCTAGCACCCCGCTCCAGAGTGTCTCTGGGCCGGATGCGCTTGGTTATCAAGAGCCATCATCGGCTATATAGGTTTCAACCTAAGGATCTTCATCCTCTTGGTCTGTGAAAACTTCTGGTTCATCGCCCAGACGCTTAGGAGGTGGTACAGACTCTTGAACCATCTTCGAGGTACTCTCCCCACAGACGGCGCCAAATGTTTTGGGTGTTTTTATCCCTCGGGAGAGTTACGTCACAAAGATTGGTCCAGCTGAGCTGTACCTGCAAAATAACGGAAACTTCGGATGGTTGGACTCCACCTCCGAAGATCAGGTTAGTAACTTGAAAGGGAATAAAGAGTACGGAAATTTTGGTGGGGATCTGCTTGGATTCCAAGCTCAGGTGTTCCTCTGATGAGAGAGAATGTAGGTGTAATAAATGATTGAACGTGTCCCCAAAATAGGGAAATATCTCCCTATTTATAGGGTCTTTGGAGAATGTGCCCCTATCTAGGTCACTTGACCTAGATTTTAGTGGGTTGCGCTGCTTTACGGCGCTCCTAGGGATTTGGGCCCTTGAAGGCCGCCATTTCAGAGGCTTGTCCAAGGGGGCCACGTGTCAAGAGGATATTGGGCCACTTGGCCATCCTGAACTCGCCACGTGGCCTCCTCTCATTGGTCAACGTGTCTAGGGTATTTTTACCCTAAACATCTGGAAACTCTTAAAACTTCTACAGATGGTGACCGGGTGTTGCAAAGTTAGCACACGGAAATCTTGAGAATCTGACGGAGACGGAACCATAGAATCTCTCTCTATTAATCTCTCTTTCTCTCTCTAGAAAGTCAAAGAAAATGAAATAGTGAGAGAAGGGAGGGGGTAAACTTCTATTTATAGAGGGGTAAAACGGGGGCATCCCCGTCACACCCTAAATTTACTAGCCGTTTTTACTATTCAGCTTTCATAGGTGGACACGTGTCACAGGCGTCATGTGGCAGCCACGTGACCCCTGTGAGGGGCAAATATTTAGGGTAAAAATACCCTAGACAAGTGGGCCATTAAGAGAATGCCACGTGTTAAGCTCAGGCGGGCCCAAGTGGACCAATAACCACCTGACACGTGTCCCCTTCAGATAATTTCAGAAATTACGGCCTTCAAGGGCCCAAATCCCAAGAAGCGCTATAATAAGGCGCAACTATCGACACCCATTTGTGTCTCCCCAAAACCAAACCCAGTGATGAGCACCTTTCACGTCGAATCATAATCGAATGAAGCAAAAGTGTGGAAAGTCTAGTGTTGCGGAAAGTTTTAATTTTTTTTCTCTTCTCTCTGTTTTTGAAAACTTATTTTAAGAAAACAGCCAATCCAGTTTGGTTGGTCCATGATATGGTTCCAATAGTAGTGTAGTTGGATGGGGCTTGCAAATACCTTTCCAACGATATATTATAAGCCCAATTCCGATGAATATTGAGGAAGTTATGGCCAATTTACCAAAGTGGGCCCGGTTTGAGCTTTATATACGGCCCAATGATCTAGAGGAGGGCCTAATATGATTTATCATTCCTAATGCAATTAGGAATGGTTTTAGTCTTCTAGATTCTTCTAGAATGTTCTTTTCATTCCTAATTCAATTAGCATTGATAAATTGACTTTTCAGAGTTTTAATTAAAATCAAAAAGCATTTTCGAGGAAAAGATACGATTTTATCCTCCAGTACGGCAAAACTTATCTGATTTTCGAAAACGCGTCAAAAAACAGGCCTGGCGCCTGACTCCAGGCATTGGCGCCTGGAACCAGGCCTGGCGCCTGGTGCTAGCCATTGGCGCCTAGTGCCAATAAGCTGGTGCTGGCGCCAGCTCTGTTTTGCGTGCGCCAATCTCGTTTTGCGTGCGCCAAGTGCTCCGTTTTGATATTTTATCTTTTTGGCTGATTTTCTCTATAAATAACGTATTAAAAACTCCGTTTTCATTCAACAATTCTCACGAACTTTCACCTACAATCAGTTTTCATTCGCAATCATTAATTCTCTAATTCTCTATTTAATCATTCACCAATTCTCATCAAGATTTTCTTGATTATTCTCTCTCTCTCTCTCTCTCTTTCTAAACTAGCCTTTTCTCAAATACAAAATTCCGCATTCGCAAGACTTAGAAACACCTAGCCATATTCGAAGTTGCCTTCGCCCTAGACGTGAAAGGTTTAATTTCTGAAGGTTTGGTCCCAAATCTCTATTTCAATTATTTAATTTAATTGTTTTGATTATTATTTTCCTTGAAGTTACTAACGTGTGTATTTTGTAATTAGAAAGAGGTACGAGGCATCAAAGTAAGTAATTTAATAGTTTTAATTGATTTATGATGTAGAAATCATGTTAATATTGTTATTATAATATTCCTAGTATCATGTCTAGGGTAATTTTAACATTTAATATGATTGTTGCGATGCTTCCTATGTTCTTCCTAATATTTATGATTGTTAGTATCATGTTAGGGCTAAAGATTTTATTTTTATTGCTTACACTACTACAAAAAAGGCTTAGAGAATGGTTAAAATAGGCTTTATAGATAGCCTGAGGACCGTTCTTCTGCTAAGCGATGTATAAAGTATAGAAAACGGGTCGAGTATGCGTTCTATATACTTATATATAGAGAACGGTTGTTAGTCACAACCGTTCTCTTTTCCCTTCCTAAAACCGTAATATAATGAAGGAAAACAGAACGGTTAGGCTACTACACCGTTTTATATAACATAACAAAAGAGAATGGTTAGGTTAGATAACAGTTCTCTAATATTTTTTTAAAAAATAAATAATATCTAATTTATATTATTGTTGTATTATTTCCTTTTATTTACAAGATTATCGAGCAATTTTTTGGTATTCATGTATTTGTTGTATTCCTATATTTATTAACAAGATTACACGTAGGAGGAACTTCGTCAAAATTACAAGTCAATGTAAAATAAATACTCGTACATATTACTCCGTATATTACTACGTAGTTAATACTATGTATTCAATATACAATAAATTAATCTGATTAAATATAACCAAGTATATCAAAATATAACTACAAGGATTTACAAAAATTGTATACTCAAGATTTTTATTCATAACTTCAATTTTACAAATAATTCAAGATGATACAAGAAAATAAATCTTCGTTACTCCTTCCGGCCGCTTCAAATACTTGTCGCTTATGAACTCCAGACTTCAAAATATCTGCAAACACAAGTGCTATTAGATTAATATTCAAACACAATCCGTATTCAATAAAATTGATAGTAAGAAAATCAATTGAAAAAATTCAGAAAGAACAAGTCACAAGGTTTAAACAATACACTATAGAATTTACATTCGTTGAAATCAAAATCTTAAGTCTTAACAACAAAAATAAAGAATGAACAAAAGAATCTCATTCCCCTAAAATCAACTTAAAATATATACCAAGTAGAAACTTATCACCTCATGGACTAGAAAGAATAAAAGTTGAATCTGAATTCCAATAATTAATGGAAAACAAATATAGTTAAACAAATTGTTTGACCTGAAGATGCAAATATAGAACCAAAATTATGAGAACAATTAATTCAAAAGTAGATCTAGTCTAGTATACAAAGAGGCGAATTCACTCTAATTGAAAACGACCTCTAATTTAGCAGAGAAAAAATACATCATTTTAAAAACAAACCAACAAATACAAAAGTTCTTCAGTTTAAAAACGTTTAAAATTCACCAATCGTATATAGAATTGACGAAACTAATACCTCAAAAATAGATCTAGGAAAAGAAGAACAACATACCATGGCAATCTTCGTCAAAGAAAATCAGGAACAAAAAGATATAAAGTCAAGGGTAAAAATATTAGAAGAGCGAATGTTAGACCACCCATTTTAAAACACCTCTTGAATTTTGTGGGTTTGTGAAATGAAAGGAAGTTGATAGTTTAATGGTGAGGAGTTGATAGCGGCTGTCAAACGTTTGGAGGAGTTAGGTTTTAGTAGGGAGTTCCATTTATTTTGGGAAGGAGTATCATTTCTAAAGAAATTAGCTTTTATTGATTAACGGTTGTGATTTGTAAAAGAGCACAAGGCCCAAAGTTTTTTTTAAGTGACTTTTTAATTGGAAAAGTAATACAGTACGGTTAGGTAGATAAAAGTTCTATATTCATTCCTTTACAAAACGCTTTACAACGAGAGGCGTTCTATATAGTTTTGTGAAACGCTTATCCGGCTTAACCATTCTCTACCTCGCGTTTCTTATTGGACATTTTATAGTAGTGTTAGTGACATGCTAGGGTTTGTTATTAATCTTGTTAATATCATGCCTAGAATCTTGCTATTTTTATTATGCTTTAACATGGTTGATGATTATTTTTATAGTTATTATTTTTTAATTATTATTTATTGTTGCTTGATATATTATTATTTGATCACACCTTTTATGCATGTTTAAAGGGAATTGGTACTTGTAATCATGCTTAATAAGATAATTAATAATCTTGTTAGGGTTAATTGTGATTATAAATTCAATTGATCGCCAATAATAGATTTATTTGTGCATTAATATTCAACCAACATAGATTAAACAGGTTTAGGGTTAATCCTATTGATTGCATGTTAGTCAGAAAGCGCACGTGAATACGATCAGAATAAAGTAGAGGCCTATTATTAGGGCAGGTTCAATCTCTTTTAGGTTGGATTTGTACCTTCATCCCCGAACCCTTGTTTGGTTTTAGACCTTATGGAGTTGACGATCTCTTGGATCGTTAAGGGGTGTAACCTTCATCCTATGAACGGTTTACAAGTTCCTAAAACTTGTTGGTGACTCTTTTGCTCTATCTTCTTCCCTTTTGGACGCCACCGTACTTTAGTGTATGATCACAGTGGGGTTCAAGCTAGTGGGATTAAAGCTTGAAATCTATTCCCTACAGCAACCCACTAAAATCTAGGTCAAGTGACCTAGATTGGGGCACACCTACCAACGACCCAATAAATAGGGAGATATTTCCTCATTTTGGGGACACAATCAATAATTTATTACACCTACTTTCTCTCTCATTGGAGAAACACCTGAGCTTGGAATCCAAGCAAATACCCACCTAAATTTCCGCATTCTTTATTCTCTTTCAAGTTACTAACTTGATCGTCGGAGGCGGAGCTCCAATAGCCAGAGTCTCCGTTGTTTTGCAGGTGCAGCTCGAGCCGGACCAATCTTTGTGACGTAACTCTCCCGAGGGACAAAAATACCCAAAACAGATTCCACATACTATCATGTGTTAAATAAGATTAGAATTGAATAATTAATTGATTGATTGATCGCCTAAGCTAAGGCGAATCTTGTTTACTTTTTCTCTTTTCACGAATTTGAATTAAATAAAGAATAACGACTTTTGCAATGTAATTCCTACGTGATTAAAGCTTGTAAATAAAATCAACTAACTTAGTTTTAGGTATCACATTGCATATATTGTTTGGTGATGAAATTCTTAAAAATGAAGAGCTTGTAGAGGTCGCACTAGGGCTAGAATAGCAATTCTCCTTTAAGGGAAACGTTATTTTAGTACCCTCACTCCCGAACTCATTTCTGGTTTATATAGATCAATTTGGGCATGGGTAAACTTATGATTTGTGCTAAATATCCAATGAACTCCATATGGGAGAAAGCGTGAACAAGGTTTATGGGTTTTCCCAAAACTCATTGGCGACTCCTACTTGTTTCTTATAAAAACGCGTGATGATAGAATCAATTCTAATTCAAGGTCCCCCGAACAGTTAGGAATTCAAATCCTAGTACACCCTAACAAGTGTAAAGTACTAGGCTTTTAAATGGCCATGGGCATCTAAGGAAGGACCCCTTATGATGGGATCACCCTCCTTACACCAATATGAAGATAAACAAATTTCTATCACTAGCTAGTTTCAAACATTATGATTCCAATCAACTTAAAAATGATTAAATTAACAAAGTTCAACAAAATTCATGGAATTTAGTAACTCAAAGTTTCAATCACTTAACATAATTAAAGATTGAATCTTTAGTACTTAGAAGCCTCAAAGACACAAGAATTTCACACTTAATGCAATTAATTTGCAATCATGTGAAAAATAAAACCAAGCTTTCAAACACAAATTACTACCAAGTAATCATGCCTAAAGTGGTTTAATATTGCATATAAAATAAGGATTGAACCAATTACATAACAACAAAAAATATGCAATTAATTTTCAAGGTTATAAAGACTTCAATTTTTTCGTAAAAACGAAAAATCCCTCGAAAAGTGCATTTCTCTTCATTTTTTGGCTAAAAACTAAGCCTAAAATGGGTAAAACCATATCCGGAACGCCTTGTCCACCCAAAATTCACTATTTTTGGGTCAAAATCTGGGTTCGAGAGCTGAAGTCAGCTCTAATACGGGATTAAAATTAATAAATCGAGCTACTAATCTAATTAGCAACTTAAAACCAGAAAAATTATGCCATAAAAACACCTTGAAAGATAAATATGATTTTAAAAATAAACGAGCAAGGCTCCGATACCGCTGTTGGGGTTTAGTGAATCCGACTCACCGCGGAAACAAATCCAAAAACAAGACCGCACTCGCAATAAATAAAACTATAAACATAATTAACTTAATGACAAGATTAAGATGATAAATATACCTTTGACGCGTGCTTCGCCCGACCTCAAGGGGCTCTTACTTCGAAAGCTAGCCTCGAAATTACGATGACCTCCAACGGAAGTCCACCCAGAACTCGAACACCGACCAGGTCCAATGCCTTGGAGTTAGCAAGGCGCGACCAAAACCCGAGTAATTGAGTTAAAAGGTTTTCACAATGGTGATGCCTTTTTTCAACTCTTGAGTTCAAAGGTTTTCACAATAGTGATGCCTTTTCCAACTCTTACTCAAGTGAACAATCCCAAGCCATGCCTTGGCTATTTATACGGAAAGCTTCCTTGTGAATTTCACTCATCTTTCAATATGAGACTTTTTCACAAAAAGATCCCACATGGAAAGATTGATGAATTCATCCCTTAGTTAAATAAACCAAGGAACAAGTAACAAGTGTCACATGGTTAGGTGATGACCACTTTCTCACTTGGTTACCAAGGCAACTCACATGCATTGTGAGCTAACCATGTGTCATCCAACCTTGAGCCCCAAGTTGGGATCGGTTGGGCCACTGCCTTTTGGCCCGTGTCCATGAACCGTCACCCGGGTCCGCGACCCCTTTTTACACTTGGCATGCTGCCACATGGCACGCTGCCACTTAGTGGCTGCCAACATGGCTGATGCCACTTGGCGGCTGCCACATGGCGTGCTTCCATGTGCGCTGCCACGTGGCACACTCCTATTTGGCGCGCTTCCCTAGCCTTTCACGTGGCTAGGGTTTTACTAGTTACTTGAAGCATTTTCCCATCTCGCCAAATCCTAATTTTGGCTCGACATTTGAGATTCAGTTCCGACGCTCCAAGCTCGAATTTCCGACGTCTAAATATTAATTACTCGGTCGACTTATTAATTAATTCCTAATTAATTCGTCTCTTCGGCTCGTTAGTTTCTTGGGTGTGACCCGAAGAATTCAGTCAAGATTAAGCTGTAAAATTAATTATGCATTAATATTACTGATTAGAAGTGGCCTCCACCCAAGCATTCCGATCATTTGATTATGACCTCACTGAAAAATTAACTTTCTAATAATTTCGAATCCCCTATCGAAATAATACACTTGTTTGAAGGAAACCAATCCTTTCATTTTACTCTACCTCCCTTCCCTTTGGACGCCCCATGCTTAAGTGTATAATAACAGTGGGGCTCAAGTGTTGGATGCTTGAAATATTCCCTACAGTTTTTTGGTGACTCTGCTGGGGAGGATTTCTATTTTAATTCCTAAAATTTATTTTGGCATTAATTTAGAATGAGTGGATGAGACTCGAAATTTTCTAACTATCTCATGTGCGTAATTTTGATTAACATTATTGGCATAAGCATATAAAGGTTCGCATTGGAAAGAACATCAGTAGTGCGTAAAAAGCATAGGGTTTTTTCACGTAGGAAATTACATAAATATCTTTCACAACTAAAGTCTAAATAACGCTGCGAAAAACTGGAAAATTCAAGAACAGAAAGTTGCCGAGGCATATAGGAATTAGCGTTGAGAAAACAGCGTCATCGTCGAGCGATGGCTCTGCCGCCTGGCGACAGTGGCATTGTCTGGCAACAGACACTATTTTCTCGTGCTGAATTCTTCCAATACCGAGCTTGAAATCTACCTTCTTGTTTTGACTAGTTTCTAGTACTGTTTGCTCGGTTTTACTTCTTGATTGGTTTTTTCCCTTTTTTCAGAAACCCATATGTGTTCTACATTTGGCCATAACCCTCTGGGAATTCTCGCTCCATTTACCCAATCGAACGGTCCTGGCAACGAAGGGTACATCCGAGTTTGTTGAATTCACCAAACCATGGAAGCGAGTTTAACTCGCAGGGTCCCATCCACTCGTGCCAACCCTTCCAAAGGTAAGGCTTCCGCACGGCACATCTGGACTCATAACCATGGACCCTTTTTTACTAACCCATATCCTAAACTTTAGAGAACTAGAGCCATGGTTAGGTTGCAAACTCATTTCAACATATTGTGACTATTTGATTACTTGTGCATTATTTGTTTGTGCATAACCTGTATGTGCTTCCACTAGTTTAACTTGTGAATGAGTTTAAATGAGCTAATTAACGACTAAAGGACTTTGCTAAATTAATTAATTAATTAATATAAATGATTAAATTTTAAATAAATTGATCAAACTTAACTTAGTATGACTTTAGGCTTGTCCTTTCGAAGTAAATATACTAGAAACAGTCCCAGACCATTGTTCCAGCAATGGCACAGAGGTTTGGACTATAGCGCCATGCGCTAGTGATTAAATTAGCACCAGGAGACAATGTTGTTGTCTGGAACTAGTCCTTAGCGTTTGGCGACAATCCTGTTGCTTCGGCGACATTCCATATTTTTGCTCGAGTCTTCGCGACGAGTCTAATTAATTAGTATACTTAATCAGTTTATAAACGATAATCGTCTTGTTTAGTCCTTAATTAATTCCAATAACATAGTCTA